TTACTCCAACAGCAATGGGTAGAAGGTAAAGCATATGCAATCCTAGAAATGCTACATTTCTGAGTGATTGTGTCTATGGATAGAGATAATTATAGAACTAAGCTCTTATAGAAACCCAAATCGCCAAAGTCCCTTTATCTTGCCAGAGACCGATATATGATTTTATATTGAACTCCCATCTCTCATTCTTTTGTCTAGGAGGCTGAGTCCCCTCCTGGTCTGCACTTTGAAGGCAGTCCTCTTACATCAGCCTGGGTATGTCGCTGACAGCCACGGTCCCGTCGTGGGTCTCACTCTCTCCGTCCTCCTCCTCTTCTTCACTACTCTCTGACTCCTCGCTGGAGGAGGAGTAATCTGTCACCTTCTTCAGCGGACGGTTTGTTTCTTCAATCCGGAGTTCCCTTAATTCTTTGGCTAATGCCGTCAAATCCTACAAAAGAAAAGTTTGGTCAGCATACGAATTGTAGATCCAACCAAAGCTATGTCTCTCAGCAAGTCAGTGCTCCAGCTTAAGCAACAAGAAAAGAAGCTCTGCACAAAACTGTGACACACACAGTTACCGCACGGAACTAAGAAAACAATGTCTGTAGCGCGTAGAAACTAGAAAAGAAAGATGAAATCAATTTAAACTTTGTTCAAAACCAACAGCTAGACTGAGACTGCTCACTTTTGAATATATACATGTATATATGCGTATGTGTGTTGTGCGTACACACATATATACAAACATTGGGTTCTCATTTTATTTTGGGAAGGTGAAGTTGGTCACCCTCAGAGTGAATGGGAAAAAATGCAGGATTAGAAATTGTTTCCTAGTATTCTGGGACTCCTGCCCACGCCAAAGTGATGGCCTTTCCCCTCTATGATCACTACTGTACCAAAATCTAGCATCAGTCATAGAACAGAGCAATTCCCAAGATTCCAGCTGCTACAATGATTCATTTGGCATGTCAAATGATGGCCCACGCCAAAGTCTAGTGCCACTGAAATTTATAGCCATAGAGCTGAGTTAATCAAGAGAAAAAAAAAGAGTTCTCTTCCAGAATGATAGGTATTTCATTTTCTTTTGTTTTAAATTCCAGTCAGCTGGCAGAAACCCTGGTGAAGAACACTGAAATGAATGTGCAAACACCAAAAGTAAGAGATAATTTCTCAGTTTTCCATGAGTGTGATGAAACCTTTAGCCTTATGGATGTGATGATGTGGTGTTTAATCACCAGGCACATTGCAGGCAGTGTGCTGAATATCTGACTATCTTTTATTTTACATGCTTTCAGAGCAGTGCAGAGGGAAGCAGTTCTGCAAAAGCATGGCTGCTCTAACTTGCATCGGTTAAACTGCCCACAGCTTGCAGCATGCAAATGAGGAAAAAGCAATTTGACATCAGTCTTACCATTTCTCCCTATATTAGTGACCCATTGGGAATCAGAGCATTTGGTGAGAGACAGGGGATTAGGGAGAAAGAAACTCATTGAAAAACCCTAAATCCCACAATTTTCTTATGGCCATATTCTCTCTTTATTTCAATCCAGAAACGTATTTATCCAATTCACCTGCTGTAGGATTAGAGCAATCTGGGTGATCTAAATGACGTTTGATAATCTATCCAAATCGGTTAGAAGAAAAACAGTGATAAATGTGCATAGTTAAGTCATGATTTTATTTTGAGAAGACAAAAAACCATCATGTTTCTCTATTGTCACCTTTATGTCAGGCATTACTATTAAGGTAAAGACTAGG